GTGTCAAGCTCTGGGGGTAGCACTTTGCTCAGGAAAATGTTCATAGTGGAAAAACGTATCTCTTTCTTTGCTGTAGAACACAAAGGAAAAAAACAAGAATCAGATTGGCTTTGCAAATCTTTTGGGATCTTTATCCACTGGGCTCCATGTCCATCCCAAGTAATCCTGAAGCAAGAGTCTACAGTGTTGTTTTTTGCAAGTTTTTAAAGCATTGGTTTCTTGAGTTTCTCTTAGTGGTGGAATTCAATTTTTTTTACTATCGGTTCTGTGGGTATGGCTTATTGGGTGGGCGTGGTTATTGTGGTTATGTGACTGGGTGGGTGTGGCTTGTGGTCATGTGACAGGGTGGGCATGGCTTGGTGGGCATGTGACTGGGTGGGCATGGCCAACTCAATGTCACATCAAGGGGTGCCTCACCTGGCCCCTCCCCTCCCAGTCATTCCTTGTCACACCCAGCCTCAACTTATCTATAGTTCTGTAAAAATGTTGTTCACCTCTTTTTACTTTATTATCTGCATACTATAGATGTACTTTCATGGACCACTGAAAGGAGGAAATGGCTCACATGCTTTACTCAAGAGTGTGATAGGCGACAGGCTTTTAAGGGGCTGCCACAAAGAAGGGGGGGGATGTATTCTCCAAAGAAGCAGAATGCAAACCAAAAGCAATGGATGGAAACTGAACAGAGAGAAGCAACCTAAAAGTAAGGAGAAACTTCCTGACAGTGAGAACAATGAACCAGTGGAATTACTTGCCACCAGATGTTCTGGGTGCTCCAACACTGGAAGTTTTTGAGAAAAGACTGGACAGCCATTTCTCTGAAATGGTATAGAGTTCACCCCAAGGTCCCTTCTAAGTATTATTCTGACACCTTTCCCAGGATTTCTACTCAGAGTTTGGCATCTTCAGTTTTCTTGCCTGAGCTGGGGGTTGGACTAGAAGACCTCCAAGGCCCCTTTCAATTCTTGTTAAACACGTGTATTTTATTCTCTGGACTATTGACATTGAATGCATATAAACCCTGAAAAATATGTGGTAGCCCTGGGCAAAAAAAA